TGTGTGTGTGTGTGTGTGTGTGTGTGTGTGTGTGTGTGTGTGTGTGTTAAAATTGTTTTTTACTCTGTTTGTGACAAATTTTAAGTCCTTTGAAGTGGCAGGATGGCAGCAAAAATGTACCTTCTGCCATCTGGGTTGGGGGAAGAATCTTTTCTTCCTCAGTTTATTGATTCTGCTTTTCCTCCTTCAGGTTGTATTAGAGTATTTGCATAAGCTTTCTCTTGGTTGGTTTCCCACTGTGAAAGGCAAAGAAAGCAGCACCTTGCTTCATGATAACTATTCTAGCTAGTCCACGGTGGGAAATTTCACTTGCAGGTGTGGAGGGAATAATAACAATGAAGTAATAAAGCCATCGTTTTCATTCATACTTTGAAGACGTTTGCAAATAAATAGAATCCCTCAAGTCTTTTTATTTCTTCCCCTTCTTATACAGACAGCTGCACTGAGAGCTGTGGGCAACATAGTGACGGGTACTGATGAACAGACGCAGGTTGTTCTCAATTGTGATGTACTATCACACTTTCCAAATCTTCTGACCCATCCTAAAGAGAAGATCAACAAGGTAAGTTGGCAGCCAACTTGACTTAAGAGGCTCTGCTAATTTCACTAAACAGTCTTTTGGCAGCAAAACAGTTTAGCTTCCAGTTTGTTTTCAGTTGAACTAGTGACCCTAACTAGTTTCAATTTAAATATCTGTTGGTGGATCTCCATTATTGTCAACATACATAAAAATCTGAGCAGTGTGGTGATCTGTCTTGCCACTGTTGTTTTTGGGGCAAATGGGGAATCCCCCTTCTTATCTCACTTCCCTTCTGGAGGAGAAAAAAAGTGCACTAAGTCACTTAGAGCTACACTTGAGCATTTTCAACTGTTGAGCTTTCTGTAATTCATTAAGAAATATTTGCAGATGGCAATCTGCTCAGTCACACTCTCTGTTCCCCCTTTGCCCCGTCCCCATTAAAACTGTCGTTCTTCATTACATGTCCCTCACTGCACTCCCAAGGCGCACACATTTTAATGTCTTTGGCAGATAACAAGTTAACTACTGGTCATCGAATTCGGTTGGGCCACATAAAGCCTCATTATGATTTGCCCTCAAACCTGTTTTTTATTTCAAGATCACCTGGAATGCAGAAAAGACCTCCCAACACAAACCATCTTCTTAAACATTTTGTCTCCTGGCTCTTCCAACCTCATTTCTCACAAAAAGTGTAAGGCATTTGTGGACTTCTTCATTATGAAAATTTCAAGCATCCATCCAGCTGTCTTAACTTTTTCCCTTCCTTCCCCTCACTGACTGGGACAAACCTCTAGAAAGGTTCCCTCACAATTTGCTTCTAGTTTCAAACTCCACTTTCTCTAGTTTATCTGTCATCTCCCTTCATATGCTCTTCAAGATCTTTTTGCCTATCTCCTTCCATAGCTCTATTCCATAACTGCTGGCATGTATGTTCCAGATATCAATTATTAAAAGACCCATTCATGTGTATTTTTTGTTTTTCTGCCAAACCGCTGATCTCCTATCTATGCTAATATATCATCCCTCCATGGTGAGTTCTTACTTTGCACAATAACCTTTTAAGTGGAACGATGTCAAATGCCATTTGAAAATCTGCAGCCTCCCATTTATCCATCGTGTATGTTACTCTTTCAGAGAACTCCAATAAGTTGATTTCCCTTTTACAAACCCATGCTAATTCTTTCTGATCACTTCAAGTACCTAGCTATAAACTCCTTAATGATCAAATCTTAACACCCTACTCAAGACCAACTTTGCTTTGTACTGTGATGGAACCTTTTCGGAATCGCATTAATTTTGAAAAATTAACACCAGCGTATCTGCTACCAGCGTATTCTCCATTTCTATATTGTCTATCATCGTGCTATTCTGACTCTAGAGAACCAACACTCAGTTTTACTTTGTTATTCCCTGCTATTTTTTTGTATTCTGTCCAATCATTTGACCTGCCTCATTGCTCAATTATATGCTTTTTCTTCTTGTCACATTGCACAACAGCAAGTTTAATATACCTCACTTTGAGGTTTGGTTCAGGATGTGCTGCATTAAGGAACTATCTCAAGGCATTCTCTGTACTCTTCATCTAGGAATTTCCTAGAATCTCATGTTTCTACGCCTTCAATCAGATTTCTTACCCTGCTACAATACCAAAGTAGCACATATCAGAGTCGACTATTTTATCAATGTGTTTCTGACCGTAGTCATTATTACCTTGTCTTAACTAGCCACCACTAGTAAGACCTTGGCATGAAGTCCATGAGGATCCAGGGACTTATAAGCCCACAGCACTATAATTTGCTCAATACCACTTCCATCATAATTGTCATTTCGCCAAGTTCCTTTCCCTTTTCCTGATATAACAGCTATAACTGGAATGTTTTTGTATCCTCTCTAGTGAAGACAGCAAAATATTTGTTCATTTAATTCTCCATTTCTATATTGTCTATCATCGTGCTATTCTGACTCTAGAGAACCAACACTCAGTTTTACTTTGTTATTCCCTGCTATTTTTTTGTATTCTGTCCAATCATTTGACCTGCCTCATTGCTCAATTATATGCTTTTTCTTCCTGTTTGATGCTTTCCTTTACCACTACTCTAAATAACCACAGATAAAGGGTCCCTTCCCTTAGAATTTTTTTTAATAGTTATAAGAAGTGTACGGAAACACCCCATAACTGTCTGCCTCTGTGTTTGTTTTGATCTATCTTTTAACCTGGCATCTCAGTTCACTTCAGCTAGCTCAGTTTTCATGCCCACATAGTTTCCCTTATTTAACTTTAAAATACCATTCTCACTTTCAAATTGGATGTAAAATTCTGTCATATTTTGGTTGCTGGCACCAAGGGTGCCTTAACTAAAGTCATTCATTAATTGTCACATTGCACAACAGCAAGTTTAATATACCTCACTTTGAGGTTTGGTTCAGGATGTGCTGCATTAAGGAACTATCTCAAGGCATTCTCTGTACTCTTCATCTAGGAATTTCCTAGAATCCCATGTTTCTACGCCTTCAATCAGATTTCTTACCCTGCTACAATACCAAAGTAGCACATATCAGAGTCGACTATTTTATCAATGTGTTTCTGACCGTAGTCATTATTACCTTGTCTTTCTTAACCTGCCTATTGCCTTTAGTGGCATTCTTTGTCCAACAGCTGACCTCTTTCCCCAGCTCAGTGAGACTGCACTTGACTGCTTCTATTCTCGTCTATCCATTCATAGCTAGAGAGTCACTCTTAACGTCCACGTTGTTGTCTCTGGAGTCTCCTGCGATTAAATCCATGCCATTTCCTATTTCTTTTTTGTTGCCCCTTGGTTGCATCATCCAAAAATATGATGTCAGATTTCATCTTGTATGCTGACGGCAACCAACTCTTCCTCACCACCACCACATTTTCCCTGTCCACTATCTCTAATTTGTTACACTGTTTCTGACATCCAGTATTGGATTAACTAATTTTGTCATCAAAATACTGGGAAGGTGAAAAACACTTGTTTTTGGTCCAATTTTCATAGATGGATATGGCAGAAATGCACAACTTTGCTTTGATGGTTCATTGTGGGATTAATTAGTCTAACTGTAGCATGCTGTTTCTGTAGTGCTTGTGTTTGTAATGTTTTTGAAGTATTCTATTAGTTACCATTATTTGCTGCTTTAGAAAGCAATTTTGAAGACTTCTTGAAAGAGCTATAATATGAGATCAACTGTTCTTTCTGTTCCATTGGATACAATATAAATTAAAACTGAAACAATATTTGAAAATGTATGTGGGTGATGGAGAGAGAAGGACCATCTTGCCTGTGAGTTGTGTGACTCATCCAACCCAGCTGTAGCACTTGCATCATATGAAACCACTGACTCAGCTGAGAACATCCCAGTTAAGGACTACATTTATTTTACTCCATCCAGCATAAAAGACATGCATGTCTTTCCCATTACCGTAAATCTATTTCATTTTGTCTCTCTGATTCTGTGCAATGCTCTGCTTGAACATTTAAAGGAGTAGGTTGAATCAGAATCAGGTGTGCTTTAAAGAGCAATCCCTGGAAAAGTTTTTAAGCATTTCTTGCTATTGTATGCAAACCTAACCTGTTTTAAAAAAAAATGCAAATTGATAGGTGGTTGGAAGACATTGTTGATGCTTTGCCTGACTTGTTTTCTGTAGGAAGCAGTGTGGTTCCTCTCCAACATTACAGCAGGAAACCAGCTGCAAGTGCAAGCTGTAATAGATGCTGGTTTGATTCCTATGATTATTCATCAACTGGCTAAGGTGAGCAAAATATGAAACCAAATTCAGTATGCAAATCAGACCACTTTGCACAGCTGAAAATCAGATCAGCATGAATGTATGTTAAGTAAAAGTAGTATTAAATTGTCATAGCAAAGTAAGGTGTCATCAGTTACCCACCACCCTTTCTTGAGCTATTGGGGATTGGCAGTAAGTGCTAGCTGGTGACATCCACACCTTGTGAATGATTTTTTTTTTGCTGTAACTTGAATATGCCTGCATATATCACTCCTAGGAAAATACAATCCAAACCGTTTGTGAATTGCAGCTAAAATGGTGGGTCAAAGTGCACAAGCATCTTGGAAGAAAATGTTTAATTTATGTAATTTTAAGAATGTTGACCCTTATTGGTTGTAGATGAGAAATTGAAAAATCAGTGAAGATAGGAGAAAGAACAGATGTTCATCCTATTCTCATGATGTGAAGGTACCAGTGTTGGACTGGGGTGGACAAAGTCAGAAATCAAATGACACCAGGTTATTTGAAATCATAAGCTTTCAAAGCCTCCGTCCTTCAGGTGTTAGTGAGAGAGTTAGTATCAGACACAGAATTTATAAGTAAAAGATCAAAGGATCACACCATTGATGAGGATGTACTAAACAAACCTAAGATGCAGTTAAATCTTCAATCAGTTAGAAGGTTTTAATTGATTAATATGTTTAATATGGTTAATATTCTCTCAGGACCGTGACTTGAAAGGAATTCGGGGATTTACATATGCATATTAATCAAATAAAACCTTCTAACTGATTAAAGATTTAACAGTACCTTCGGTTTGTTTAGTACATCCTTATCAATGGTATGAACCTTTGACCTTTTACTTACAAATTCTGTGTCTGATACTACCTCTCACTAACACCTGAAGAAGGACTGAGGTTCCGAAAGCTTGTGTTTTCAAATAAACCTGTTGGACTATAACCTGGTGTCGTGTGACTTCTGACTACATCCTCTTTTCCTTTGTTGTAGTTCATGTGCACAATTTAGGTGGAATGATTCCATTGTCTACTTGTTCATCTATCTCTCCTGCTAAAATATGCTTTAATCAATATTGTCTTTTGTTAGGCAAAATGAGAATCTTTTAGTGTGAAGTAGCTATTTTCCTGTTGTTGGCGTAATGAAAATTGAACTTCTTTTTCTTGCAGGGAGATTTTGGAACACAAAAGGAAGCTGCATGGGCGATCAGTAACTTGACAATTAGTGGCAAAAAGGAGCAGGTAATCATTTGATTTATCAAGTGATGCTTACCAGTTGGTATCTACAATGCCATCTATTATTAAGTACCAGCATATCACTACATATATTTGTGCAGGGTATAAATTGTGGAGATGTGGGCAAATAAAGGAGTAATTTTGAGGCTATAATTTCACAATGCAAAGGTACCACACAAATATTTCCTCTCCAGGGGATGTCTAGTTCTGATTTCGCTTTGTGGTCTGTTCTCAGAAGTAAAACTAAATTCCTTTAAGGGACACTTCTAATGGTTTAAACAATTTAGTAACAGGAAATTTTGCTAATTGGTCACCTTGAGGCTATTTGTCACTTTCTCCATTTTATTTCTCATCTAACTATGAGGGTATGCTTCAACTCTGTGTAGACTTCATACCTGAAATAGAGGAATAATGGAGATAGACCACAAAGAAATCCTTTTTTTTCAAACATGCTCCATATCTGGGAAGCTGAAATTTAATGTTAGATAAAGTCCCAACATTGCTTCATCTTACAGACCCAATTTTTAATTTGCCAGATGGATTTATCCATTGTAAGAAGTCCATATAAGTTTTTGGAAATACATACTGGACAAAAAGAAGTTTAGTTTATCAAGTTTTTTTTAAATGACTTGAAGAGAAAGTATAACTATATGGTGTTCTTTTGCTGAAACTGGACTTCATATCCAAAGACGTGATCTGAGCATGTCTCATAAAAGTAGCTGCTAAGAAGCAGCTTGTGGATTAGTTGTAAGTGGTAGTTTGACAACAAACTGAGAGGAGAACTTTGCATTGGGACCTCCAAAGCCACTTTCTCTTTCCTTCTCTTTCTGTTTTAATTGGGAAAGAAAGATTACTCCAAGCCTTTGCAGGACAAAACATCTGCTAGCTTGAGACAAGACCTAGGTTCATCTGACCAGCTACCAAATTTAGGATCACCACAGATAATGGCAGCATGGTATCTTTGTCAAATACCAAAGATTATGAGAAAGTCACAACATTTTCCTTTGCGCTTGGGTTTCTTCAAACTTTGATCTGCAAAATTTGTGCCTTTTTGTGCCTTTTTACAATCTTCCTTTTAAAAAAATGTCTATTGGTCTCGTCTTTCCTGTCATCCTCTCAGTGAATGAATTTGTGTGTGTGCACGCATTTGGATTTAAAGGGGGTAGATTAAGTTTGCATGCTAGTAATTCATTTTCTTGCCACAGGTTGAGGATGAGTTAATTGTCATAAAAACGTTTTTCCTCACTCATCATAAAACCTGGTGTTTGTTTCTTTTATCTCAGATAGTCGTCACTGCAGGTATTAACCATCCTAGTGATTAGATTGGCATGTCTCACATTGTGACAATTTGTGGAATAGTAAGGGGTGACATCCAGCACAGTGTTCCCATGACATGAGTTGGGGTTCGGTGTGGAATCTTTGATTGTGATCATGGACATGAAGTAAAATTAATTGGTAAAGAATAAAAGGCCAGATACCAGGTATCTCATACTGTAAAATGAGATGGCATTGGAAGCTGCTAAAACTACCCTACAGGTTAGAGGAAAATAGACCTGACTGATTTACAAGACTTAACGAAGGCTAAGTCCATAAGACTTGGCAAATAAGTTATAGGTGGAATTTCCTGCAAAAGCTAAGAAGGAATAAATCATTAAAATATTAGCACAGCACTTAACACTTAAGAAAATATACATGTGATCAGGTTCGCAAGTGTTGCGAACAACTGCGAAAGTGAAAGATATGAGGGAATTCCCTATTCCGAAAACTAAATGGGAAATCGTGAGATTTCTAGGGATTTTTAAAAATTTAAAGTACCATAGCTGCATCTTTTAACAGATTAATTGTGAAAATGTATAAAAGTAATATGGTGGAAAGAGTTCCAAACAGCTTTTTGAGAAGCTGAAGGCAATCCTAATGAATAAACAGGTGTTGGCCATCCCTGATTTTACTAATGCTTTTGAAATACTAATTGACGGTAACTTTCTGATGGATGTGGTCTTCATGCAAGATAATGAATCAGGAGTAGAGAAACCAGTGGAGTACTTTTCTTTGCAGAAACTCCAATGTCAGAAGTAGTGTTGTCCAATCAAAATGAAAAACATGGGATTGTTACTGGCTCTTGAACATCTTGAAGTTTATCTGTCACAATCTCAAAATTCTCAAAACTGACTATCTTGCCACCAGGATGAGGCAAAAGTTTGATCACAAACCAACGCTCTTTGTGTCAGTCATTGTTGACATTAAGAAGATTTTCTTTCAGGCCTTCTTGAGCTTAAGTCAGTGGAATGCTCATTTGATTGTCAATGACCAAATTGAGTTAAAGTTATATAGCACAGAAATAGACCTGACACTGACCAGACATCCCAATTTGACCTAGTCCTATTTGCCAGCATTTGATCCCAATCCCTCTAAATCCTTCCTATTCATGTACCCATCCCAATGTCTTTTAAATGTTATAATTGTACCACCTCCACCACTTCCTCTGGCAGTTCATTCCATACACACGCCACCCTCCGTGTGAAAAAGTTGCCCGTCAGGTCCCTTTTAAATCTTTCCCCTCTCAGCTTAAACCTACGCCTTCTAGTTTTGGACTCCCTGACCTGGGGAAAAACGCCTTAGCTATCCACCCCATCCATGCCCCTCATGATTTTATAAACGTCTATAAAGTCACCCCTCAGCCACCAGTGCTCCATGGAAAAAAGCTCCAGTCTATTCAGCCTCTCCCTATAGCTCAAACCCTCCAACCCTGGAAACATCCTTGTAAATCTTTTCTGAACCATTTCATGTTTCACAACATCTTTCCTACAGGTAGGAGACCAGAACTGAATGCAGTATTCCAAAAGTAGCCTCACCAATGTCCTGTATAGCTGTGACATTACCTCCCAACTCCTATACTCAGTGCACTGACCAATAAAGACTAGCATATCAAACACCACCTTCATTATCCTGTCTACCTGTGACTCCACTTTCAATGAACTATGCACCTGCACCCCAAGGTCTCTTTGTTTAGCAACAATCTCTCGGACCTTACCAATATGTGTATAAGTCCTGCCGTGTTTTGTCTTACCAAAATGCAACACTTCACACTTAGACATATTAAACTCCATCTGCCACTGCTGGGCCCATTGGCCCATCTGATCATGATTCAGATGCCAAGTGCCACAACCAACTATGGATTTATTTGTCAGTTGTGAGGAATTATGGGCTTAACATCAACCTGAAGGAAAGAGGAGTGGTGCAGAAACATATATTCAATAAATTATATATCCATTTGGCCACTAATGCTGAAGAAATTGAACTCCATGCCATAATGGACTTTTTAAATTAGTTCTGAAGATGTGGTCGTTGCGAGCTAAGCCAGTATTTGTTAACCCATCCCTAACTGTCCTGGAGAAGATGGTGGTGAGCTGCTGCCTTGATCTTCAGCTTTCCATGTAATTTAAGGATGAATCGATTGTGGTTTGGAATGGAGTTTCAGGACTTTGTTCCTTCACTGTTAGCAGGGTCAGCGATGTAGTTTAACTTGGGCTAGTGCCTAGTTTGGAGGGGAACTTGTAGATGGTGCTGTTCCCATGACCTCTCAAGATATCATCAAGCACTTGTTCTTGTCAATCATGAAGTTATGTGCTTACATCAGAAACATGAGTTACTCCTTTTGCAGGTTTAAACAATGAGTCATTTAGCATGGCATCAATTTTCACACTAAAAATAATGCTCCAGGTTTATTACTTTGCAAGTCCAAGTGCTGTGAATGCTTACTGCTCACTATCAAGTACAAGTTCCTCTTCAAGCTCATGGTGCACTTCAAATGCCAGGAACATAATCAAAAAGCTGAATTGTGGAAAATCAACCAATGTCAAGACAGCACAATAAAATATGGTTTTGCTGGGAAGGACAAACTTATACGGTTGGTGAAAACTGACACACATGCTGTGCAGTGAGTTAAGTCAAGGTAAACATTTACATGGTAGTCAAATTTTAAAACGTTGTAAAAACGTACAGAAACTACTGCATTGTTGCCAACAGAAGGATGAAATCCAGAACTATAATCGAGAATAATTTTGCTATCAGCAGCAATTGAGTGACTAAACCATTATTTATTTACGTGCACACCGGGCTAGAGGACCTAACTATGCATAGCTCCATTGAAAAACAGCAATTCAAGCTTGGTCAAACCAGTGCCTTGGTCTAAAGGGATGTGTGTCACAAAGCACTTAATTTCTGAGCTCTTGAATCACCAGCACCAATGATTGATCCTGAAACATAGCCTTGATAAGACAGTACAGATTTGAGTGTACTTCCCTTTTGGTTCAGTTCGTCGATGAATATGACTTTTTTTTTGTTCCCATATTGCACTTTGGTTTACCTTTGACAAGTTTTAGTAACCAGTCAAGTCAGATCGCATAGGATTCAGGGTGAACTCATTAATTGAATACAAAATTGACTTGACAGTAGGAGACAGAGGATGGTGGTAGAGGGTTGATTTTTGGACTTGAGGCCTGTGATCAGTGGTGTTCCATAAGGATTGGTACTGGTTCCACTTTTTTGTTGGCATTGTATGAACTATTTGGATGAGAACATAGGAGGCATGATCAGCAGTTTTGCGGATGACACCAAATTTGGTGATATATTGGACAGTGAAGGAGGTTATCTAAGATTACAAAGAGACTTGATCAATTGGGTCAATGGGCTGAGGGTTGGCAGATGGAGTTTAATTTGGATAAATGTGAGGTATTGCATTTTGGTAAAACAAACAAGGGCAGGACTTACACTATTAATGGCAGGGCCCTGGGTAGTGGTGTTGAGAGACCTAGGGGTTCAGGCACATATTCTTTGAAATTTGTATCACAGGTAGACAGATGGTTAAGAAGGCATTTAGCACACTTGCCTTCATTGCTCGCTCCTTTGACTGTAGGAGTTGGGATGTCATGTCGAGGTTGTACATTGGTGTGAGGCCTCTTCTGGAGTACTGTGTGCAGTCTAGTCACCCTGCTATAGAATGAATATCATTAAATTGGAAATGATTCAGAAAAGATTTATCAGGATGTTACAAGGTATGGAGGGTTTGACTTATAAAGATAGGCTGGAAGTTCTTTCCCTGGAGCGTAGAAGGTTGAGGGGTGACCTTTATGGACGTTTATAAAATCATAAAAGGCATAGATAAGGTGAATAGCAAGGGTCTTTTCCCTAGGGTGGGGGAGTTCAAATTTAGGGGTCATATTTTTAGGGTGAGTGGAAAAAGATTTTAAAAAAGACATGAGCGGCAACTTTTTTTTTTTTACACACAGCGGTTCATGTGTGGAATAGACTGCTATGAGGAAGTGGTGGATGCGGGTACAGTTACGACATTTAAAAGATATTTGGAGAAGTACACGAATAGGAAAGGTTTGGAGGGATAGGGGCCAAACACGGGCAAGTGGGACTAGTTTAATTTGAGAACCTTGGTTGACATGGACGATTGGACCGAAAGATGTGTTTCCATGTTGTATGACTCTACATTGCAGTATTTGTTGAAGATCTCAGGATCGCCAACCTTGCAACATCTTCACATGCAGACCAGAATCTCGTGGGGATTTTGCTCCTTCTGAATTCAAACTCTTCAGAATATGTTTAGATTGGAATAGCATCCTTCACTTTGGAAAAAAAAAATCATTTCACTTGGATGCTGTATCTTTGAAAGCTGAATGGCTTTTGTGCTTTGATGGTTTAATTGTTTCTTAAAACTAGAACCTATATTGTTTCTCTCAACCTGCAGCAATTCATTCACTTTTTGAAAACCTGTTGGGGAGAAATTTAAGTAGGCTTTTCATATTCCAAAATTCATCCACTCTTGAGATTACAGCATGGAAGAGTTTAATATCAGACATAGATCTGACGATGCCTTAGATGCCTCTGAATTTAAAACCCTTATGGGTATGAAGTCAGGTGCCCTTTTAATGTTCAGCATTATTTAGGATGATTTTTTTAAAGGCTAGTACTGTAAAATGAGCTTAAAGAAGAAAATATGATACAAGTATAATTTAAACTAATTTATAATTCATTCTTAATTATCTATCCATAAAACTGCCTTGAATACATTGATGTTTTAACCAGAAATGTTAAATGCCTTTTATAAATAAGTTTCACTGACTGGAACACTTCGACATTTTATTTCTTCCCTTTTTATTCTAGGTTGAGTATCTTGTGCAGCAGAATGTAATCCCCCCTTTCTGTAATTTACTGGGAGTCAAAGATGCTCAGGTGGTACAGGTTGTACTTGATGGACTGAACAATATTTTAAAAATGGCTGGTGAGGAAGCAAGCACGATAGCAGAAATGATAGAAGAATGTGGAGGTAAGCTTCCAGAACTTGTGTTCTTATTGAAATTCATTTTATTTTTGCAGACCCCATTTAAATCCTGTGAGCTGAAGAAATGTCTGAGTTTCAGGAAAGACTCAGTGCAAGTCTATGTTGTTCCAATCGTATTTCAAAATGTTCTTCGCAATTGTTTCACTAACTTCTAATTTTCTTTCTGACAGGTTTGGAAAAAATAGAAGCCTTGCAGCAACATGAAAATGAAGAGATCTACAAACTAGCTTATGAAATCATAGATCAGTACTTTTCTGGTGATGATGTAAGTACAGAATTGATTTATTGAGCTCACAGAAAATTTGTAGGAAAGGGGCAAGAGAATGTTGGAAAAGTGTAGTTTATTCCTCAATTCCTCTTTTTCAGCTAGGCACAAATGCAGTGACATTAATTCAGCAGTGAGTTCAGTTCTTGAGGGTGCCAGTTCTGTATACATGCATGACATAGGAAATCACTGTCTGACTTTTGCTTGTGAAGTAGAGAAATACTATTGTTGCAAGTATGCAAATGACAATTAACTGCATCTTGTTGAAATTTTGAGTTGTAGCTGGAATTATGGAAGTAAACATTGTTATACCTGTATTATCAACCCTGAATTTAAAACCCTTATGGGTATGAAGTCAGAGGCCCCTTTAATGTTCAGCAATATTTAGGATGATTTTTTTAAAGGCTAGTACTGTAAAATGAGCTTAAAGAATTACACCCTGATTTTTTGTTTCTAAAATCCAGAAGCAGATTAATCCAGAGTAAGATGCTGCTTGAGATAGTAGGAACTGCAGATGCTGGAGAATCCGAGACAACAAGGTGCAGGGCTGGATGAACACAGCAGGCCAAGCAGCATCATGGGAGCAGAGAGGCTGACGTTTCAGGCCCAGACCCTTCATCAGAAAACGGGGAGGGAAGGGGGTTCTGAAATAAATAGGGAGAGAGTGGGAGGCGGATAGAAGATGGATAGAGGAGAGGATAGGTGGAGAGGAAAC